TTAAATGATATTGGTGACCCTCTTTTTGCCGCTCAACAGGCTTATGAAGGAAAGAGGCCACGTGCTGCAGTATCTCTATCAAGGCTGACCTTGCTTGGCAGAGAGATGCTGAAGGACTTTGCATTCCCTCTAGTCACTGGAAATACTGCAGTTAGCCACTTCGATTCCCCACCCTGAGACGTGTTTAAAGGGAGAGAGAAAAAAAAAAGGCTCTGTGTGACAGCCAATACTGTGGGTGGGCTTAGGGGAAAAAAATCCATCCGTTTGTCGTGCGGGGGCTGGCTCCTAGGTAGGAAATGGCACGTTAACACCCCCTGTTCTGTGTAATCACAGGCCCCAGGTTTGCCAGCAGTCTCCTTCAGAAACTCCTGCAGGTTTATTGAAGTCAGCAGACGCTTGGGTCCCATAGACATTTCATCTTCTACTAAAACATCATCACAGCCATTGATGGAGGGCACTTGCTGGGTGCGGAGGATTAGCGGGGAAAAGGAAAGTCCTGTGGTGAACGGACTGCAATGGGACAAAGGATGTGTGAATTTTATCTCCTGGCCTGGCTGCAGGCTGTGTGACATGGGGCAAGTCATTTCATCTCCCTGGGTCCTGCTTTCCAGCTTGTAAAATGGAGGTGACAATTCTCCCTCTCACTCCCTGTGTTTAACCACTTCAGACCATAGGATGTGTGGGGCAGGAGTTCTCCCCTGTACGCATTTACAGTGTCTAGCTCTATGGGGCCTGGTCTTAGACAAGGCCTGGAGGTGATTAATATGCCTATTAATAGTCTCTCCACTGTCAAATCCTGCATTTCCAAATGGTATCTTTATAATTGTGCTGTACAGCTCTGGAGCAGTCTGTTATCTGAACACGCAGGCAGCAGAGGTGGGGAAGTGGGTCTGTCAGCTTCCTGGCAGACCCTAAATACATCTGCAAAGCAAAACTTTGTGTCTCAGCATCTGCACACCCGTCCACCCCCAGACTATTCAAACAGCTTTAATGAGCTTTTGAGCTCTACGCTGCATGGTTATGAATCCCTTGGCATTTAACTCTCACCCTGAGACCCCTTCTTAATCAGGGCAATGGAGGCTGATAAAATCTTGATTGAAACATAGGTTCTGTGAGATGCTGCAAGTCCTGGAATTGCTCAGGAGGGGAATAGTCACGTACTGTGAGCACTTAAGCAGCAATGGAGCAGGGTAATGGTCTGCTGAAAACCCTGAGCCTGGAAGTGGAAGACATTGATTCTTTATCATCAGTATTATTTGTAGCCATGCCCAGTGACAGCTGTGGGTTTAATCATTCTTCCATCTGAGGAATAGCTCTACAGCTGAGTACCAGCATTTCCAAGCTGGTAGATTTATTTTATCGGTGTGGTTTTGAAACCTGAAAGGCATGTATTGTTCATGGAAGGTCTGGGTTGAGAGATGGAAAATGAAGTCTTCCACAGATTGTACTGCTTATGAGCTACCAGTTCTAGCTTCTCCCACCATGATGTGGTGTCTGTAGCTCCATCTGTTATAGTGTACTTTTCTATCTTCTGTTTGAGGTGGTTGCCTTTTGGGGCTCAGTTCAGATCCAGCATGTTGCAGATGTGGCATCTTCCCCATGATTTCATGTCCTTACTTTCTCAAGGTCATGATTTCCCTTGATGTTAAAATGGGGGAAACCCCAAGCCCCTGGATTGGAAATATGTGTAGGGCTAAACCTAACACCTGGGCTGAGAAGGCAAGTCTCTGTGGCCTGTTGTGTCCTTTATAGGTGAATTAGGCTCTATCCCCAAGTGTCAAGGTTCAAGGGGCTCCACCAAGTAGCTGCAACTATTTTTTCTTGGGGCAGTGAGGAGTTTCCCAGGATATGCTGTTTATGTGTCTGTGGCTTTGGGGACTGTGTACACCTGCAAACATGGGAATAGTCTCATTGGGGAGAATTTTCAGAAGTGCCTAAGTGGCTTAGGAGCCTCAGTTCCATTGGAAGATAATAGATCTTGGGTTCAAAGGGCTTCAGTCACTTTCAAAATAAGGGGCTTAGGCATGTCTTGAAACCTAAAAAATGGTTTTGAGTATGTGCTTAAAGTCGGGCAAGTACTTGCACACCTTCCTGAATCAGGGCCTCGGGTTGAACTTCATCACTGTACAGAGGCCCAGGAAACCACAACCACAGGGAGAAAAATTTCTTAGTGGCAGTGACACTATCAGGTGTCACAGGGACCAGCACCATATTTAATTCTGTAAATTAATTAACAAAGACAACCAGGGATTATTAATGACCAATACTGCAAGGCCACTTCCCGTTTTCTGTCCCCAGAGGAAAAATTTCCACTGAACCTTAGCCCAGGATAAAGCGCTGTTCATTGCCTCTTGTTGGACGCTGGGCTGATCAGTGATATATTGGCTCTCAGTGATGACTCCTTATCTCTTTTCATTCACATCTGAAGCATGCTGGTGTCTTTATTGGATTCTGGATAGAACAGGGAGCACAGGTTAATTTGCTATCTTTGGGATGTCCTTTGTTCATTGCAGAACTGTTTCTCGCCTCCTGCCCTTTCACTGACACTCAATCTGCCTGCTCTATTATTCATGTCCCCTGTCTTCATGGGAATTGATCATAGATAAACAGTCATCAGAAAACAGGGCGGTTGGGCACATGCAATTCTTAACCCATTGATGTTTGGAGTGTTACGGGTGCTAGGAAGAAGTGAAAACCTGCTTAACGCTTGTTAACAGGCCCTCCCCAGGGGAAGATTGGAAGCTTGCCATGCCTCAAACTCCCGCTATGGATTTTTTTTTTTTTTTTTTTTTAAATCAAAGAACAAAATAGCTTCTGATTTTCCTCTTTTTCACTCTGATGGCTTCCTGGGCAATAAAGACCCCAACAAAATCTCCAGCGATGCTACACGGCTGATGAGATCTATCTCAGCATGTGTGGGGCCTCTATCACAGCAGCATGCGAGTGCCTCCCAGCACCCTTGGGTGGTGATTTGAATGTAATCTTTCGGCACAAGGCAGAGATGACTTGACCTTTGTGCAAAAGAGCGTGTGCCTGAGCTGGGGCCTGCAACCTCTCTCATCCATTGGAGACTGGTGCTTTGCCCGCTATGGCATCCTTCCTGTCCTAAGGAGAGACTACGTCTTTCTCCTAAGGCTGTTGGGGCCCTGGGGAGAGCAGCATATTAAACCTGGAGAAATCCCTTCCCTCTGTATTTCTTTGGAATGGGGTTGAGGATGACCCACAGGGGCCCCTTTCTGTCTAGGGGTTGGTGGGCACTGGACCCATCTACACCGAGATCTCTGTCCTGACTCACGCATGAACAATTTTGGGGCTCGTTGTGGTGGCCTGGTCTCCATACAGAAGAGACAACCCTCATTCCTCCATCCTGCTAGGTTAGTGTGTGGAATAACAGGGCATCTTCAGTGCTGATGGCAGCTCTTTCCACGTTTGTTGGCAGACACTTGGCCACAAACTGAACAGCATTGTTCTTGATGGCTGAGCAGAGCCGACAGCTACCAAAGGCTTCCCCTGTAATAGCGGGTGTGCAAATATGCAGCATTCCTTCCCCACCTGCTCCGCCCTGCTTAAAAAAAAAAGTGTCTTAGAAATACAGAAGGGCCTGCGTGAGATGGCGGAAGAACCTTTAATATTTGCCTTGTGTTTTCTTTGTGGGGACATAAGGGAAATGTCTATTCCTTGAGCTGCTGGCGTTTTGTGTACCAAGTGCCACGCGATTTTTAATCACATGTACTCATTTTTCAAGGATTCCCACAATTCCTGCGGACTCAGCCAACTCTCCAGATTTCAGCCCTTCATTGGGGATCTCTGAGTGAACGAGTGGTGGCATTTGTGTACCTGGGGTGAAATGCACCCATGTAGCGAGGCCAAGACAAGGCCGATGTGCTTTGTACGAGGCATTTGTTGATAGCAAAGGCAAGGAGGGCATTGCTTGGGTATAGGCCCCCTCTATACAGCTTCTTTTTGCTGTCGCCCATTCAAAGCGATGTCTCTGCATTTGGACAGAGCAGCGTGGCAGTATGATAAATTCTGATTTTAAGTTTGCTTTGGCACCTTGGGATCCAGCCTGCCACTCTCTCTCTGCCTCCCAAAGGGAACTAGTTTCCAGGTTTCTTTCTACAACTTTCCCATTTGTTTTCTCAGAGGCCTGAGGACTCCTGGAATTGAGCGATGACCTTTTAACACCACCTGGCCGTCCCTGGGTGGGGACAAGGGGCCTGTCCGCACAAAAGCTGGTGGCACTGCCAGGGCCCTTTAGTTTCTCCTATGGAAGCCCAGTCTGCCGGCCACGGGGATCTCCTTACAGCCGCTTCATCTCCTAGGATGGGGACCACCCGAAGGCCTCAGGCTTGGTGACGCTGGTGTAAGTCTAAGGTCTGGGAGGATGGAAGTGGCTGGACTGCTGGGGGGTAGGGGATGGGGGCTAATCTCTTTCTTGAGGACTTTTTTTCCTCTTTCTCCTTCCAGCTCTGCAGGCTACGCCAAATGAGGTTGGCTTCAGAAGCTTCTCCTCCCAGAAACGAGGGTAAGAAGGGCCCTCAGTAGGTCTGGTCCTACGCTGCCGGGACCTGGGCTTACTCCCAGGAAGAATCCGGCCCACAACACCAAGGCCCGGCCCTGCCCCTCTCTTCTCCCGCCGCCGGCTCCTGTTTTTTCCCTCTGCCTCTTCCTAAACCCC